CTGTTCCTTCCTCTCTCTGGAAGGGAAGTACTGCAGCTTCATGGCAAGATTGTCTTCCTTTCAGAGCTGATCAGGAGTGAAGCACGATTGGTTGTGAGCATTGGGGAGATGAAGGGACTCCCTAATCCCGAAGCTTTTCAGCAGCTGGAGGTTGGCTCCGAGGGTCCAGTGATCACCTACAGCTACTATGTGACCTATGAGTTTGCAGAGGGAGAAGAGCTCGAGGACAGGGGCAGCCCTGAGGTTGGTGATTGATGGTGCTCCTGGAAACAAGCAGCATGGCAGGTCACAGCAGGGGGAACTGCATCTCCAAGCTATGGGGTGATGGGCCTGGCATGGGCAGCAGCAGTGCTGGGGACAGAATTCCCATGTGGCTGCATCCAGCAGGACAAGCCCCTGCTGACTATGGTAGACCCTTTCCCTGGCACTGAAGTCCCTTCTTCCCATGAGGGTGGGCTGGGGAATAGGATTTTGGAGGCAGATCTGTCTCTGTTCCAGGGAGCAAAAATCCACCAGAGTCCCACAGTGGCCATGCTGGATGTGGACAGCTCTGCTCAGGACACAGGAGAAACAAAGAGCCATCAGGAGCCTGCAGCCACAGAGGAGCCCAGGGCCCACTCAAGTAATGAGGAATTAGAGATCTTCTGTCCCATCTCTCCAGGCAGGTTTATAGCTCTTGGTGGGGTATGGTGGCATCAGGATGTCCCTAGCAGTGCCAGCTGGGCTGTTCGTGGGGCTGATAATGACCTGGCACCAGCTGTGTCCCAGGGGTCCTTCTGTCCTGGGGAGAGGTCTTCTCTGAACTTTTTTGTGTCCCTACACAGCAAAGGTGTTTGCCACCTCTGGACAGCCCTGGGCAGACACCATCAACTGCAGCTATAGAAAGGAACACATTGCCAAGGACTTGGTGGGGTTGAAGTCCTACCTGGAGGCTGGAACGATTGTCTCAGTTGTGGAGGAGAAGGTGAGGGTGTGGCCGAGCTAGATGAAGGGGAAAGAGCTGCTGGGAGGCCCAGCCAGTGGTATCACATTCCCTCTGGGAGGCAGGCTGGGATGGCAGTGACCCTGGGCCAGCTCCTCTCTCTGGCCAGGTGCTCTCATGGCCTGTGGATGCTGATCCAGAAGAAAACACTGTCACAAATAAAAAGGAAGGACAGGAGCTGAAGAAGACCAGTACAAAGGTAGGGTGCTGGGAGAAAACAATGACCGAATTCTATCTGAGTTGCAAAAACAATGATGGGAGAACAAGGACCCTTCTCCTGGGTCAGCTTGGTGTGTCAGAGAGTCAGACCTCTCAACCAAAGTCCCTCCTCTCTGTGGGGGGAAGGCAGCAGCTGGTGGCACATACCTGGGCCAGGATGCAGTGGTGGGCAAGGGGCTGGGTTGGGGTTGCTTCTCTCTGAAAGAGGGACCCCAGCCTTCTGCTGAGGCCTGTCCCCGTGTCCAAGGACAAGCAGAAAAAGAAGAAGCAGCAGCAGCCATGTGAATTCCGCAGTGACCCTCCCATTCGGAGCAGCCTGGGCACCACAAGGGTGACCTTGGAGACCCTGCTGGCCACTGAGGACCTGGTGGCAACTGTGTGTGATTTTGGGATCCTGATCCCTGAGAAACCACCAGAACCACCAGTTCTGGAGGAGAAGGTAAGGAGCATGTTGTCCCAGGGCTGGGCTGCAGGCTGGGGCTCAGCAAATGCCCTCTCTGGCCTGGGCATCCATCCATCCCTCAGTTCTCCTCTCCCCAAGATGGGGTTGAAATAGCCCTGCCTATCCACCATCCATCACTGCTGGTGTGGTTATTTAAAGCTGATATTAGCAAGCAGTACTGCTACTTTTTCTGGGCCTAGGAAAATAGATGAGTTAATTTTTCCATTCCAGAATGTGTAAGCAGCCACTTGTGCTTCCTCTGGTGCCCTCTCTCAGCATGGCAGCACATACCAGCTGTACCAACTTTCTGTTTCCTGGATTCCCTTCTCTGAGCAGCCACACTGCTGTGCTCCTGCTCCTGAAATCCCGGTGACAGCACCCAGATGATAAAAGCTGTCACAGGACTGAATGAGGGCAGTGAGTTTCAACACAGCCTTACTGTGGAAATATCTCTCTCCACAGGAGGTAAAAAAAGGCAAAGAGAAGAGTAAAAAACCCAAAGCAGAGAAAGGAGGTCGGGCCAGCCAGAAAATCGAGGCGTCTTCCAAAGGTGACAGAGGCTGGAGCTGATGGGGCAGAGGGTGGAGTGTGTGAGAGAGCAAACAGGAGCAGGGACTTACTCACATCCTGAGCCTCGGGCTGTGAATACAGACATTGACTGTGGGGCTCTCAGGACAGACACAGCCTGGACTCTTTATGAGTTGGTGTCTGCACAGGCACCGAGGGTGGGCAGCCAGCTGCCCTGGGAGACTCACACCTACAGCACACCGTGCCAGGGGAGAAGGGCAAAGCAGATTTTTGAGTGAGAAAAGTGCTGCCCACTGTGTGGGCTGCCAAATGTGGGCGGTGGCGTGGGCGGGCAGCTGGGCTGTCTGGGATGCATAACGAGCTCCTCATCCTCTGCCAACTCACATCTCCAAGCACTTTGCAGAGGGGATTATTGTTCTCTCTGGTTTAGAGATGAGATGCACAGAGAGCCCCAGGTGCCCCAGGCAGCCCATGGCAGGGCTGGGAACAGATCCCAGTCTGCTGTCACCCATGAAGAGACCACCCTGACCCCGCTGGGTGTGCCCCTCGCCTCCCAGCGCTGCTCAGCCAGCAGCGTTGCTAAATCTGCCAGAGACAAACCTCACCCTGCCTCTTGCAGGTTATTTTTCCAGCAGTCTTGGTTTTGACTGCAAAAATAGCAGTGCCAGCACATCAGAGGGGTAATGGAAGAGTGGGAGAGGAAAGGATTGGTCAAGCAATACTGAAAAGCTGCTTGTGGGTCAAGGAGGGCATGGAGAGGGCCAGGTCTTCCAGCACTGCTTAGAGCTACCAAAGGAGCTTTGTTTTCCTGCTCTGGCATCAGATTTAAGAGTGCAATTCACCCACAGAGCTCCAGGCTGCTTTCCTGTGCCCTGTCACCCACAGCAAGGTCCCAGTCTTTGGGAAGGCTCGCAGAGCTCTGCAGCCCTGGGCTGTGTCTGCAATCACAGAAGCCTGTGGCCTTCCCCAGCGATATGAAAAGAACTCCTTGAATTGCTGTCCCCCACAAGAAGATGTGTATTTGCAATGTACACATCACCCTGTTGCTGAAGCAGGCAGCTGCTGTCAAACAGCTCAGCTTCAGCAGTGCTTGTTCCTTCCTTCCTTCCATCCCTGGTGTGTGGTCAGTGTGTGCAGGGGGTTTCCTTTCAGCTTGAATGAGGGTAAAAGTGCTGTTGTGTGCACGGAAGTGCTGGTGTTGCAGGAAACCCACAGCAATTAGAGATTTGTGCTTAATTTGATGTCCCCATGTCCCTGTGCAGGTGGGGGGCTGGCTTGGCTGCATTGTGAGGTCACTGAGTGCATATTTCGAAGTGTGAGTGCAAAACTCACAGTGCCTAAAAATGAGCTGCCCCACAGCTCGCTACACCCACTGTCCCATGGCTGTGACTTACCAGAACACCCCAGTTGTGGCTTTTGGAGGTGCTGCTCAAGCCCTGCTGAGCTCAGTGTCTGCACATCCTGCCTGTCCCGTGAGTCACCAGCTGCTCCAGGGCCGTTTGACACTTGCTCATCACCTGGGGACCAGGAACCTCCTTGGAGCTGTGACAGTGGCCATGCCCCGGGGTACAGGAGATGGCTCCCAGCTCCAGTGGGGCTGTGCAGGGCCCAGCACTCTCACAGCCAGGAGCTGAGGCTGATTTGCATCCCTCAGTCAGCAAATGCACACGAATAATAAGTCTTCTCAGAGGAATTGGGATCACTTCCAGACGGCTCAAAGAGGAAAGGCAGCGGGCTTTGTCACAAGTGAACCATTTGCCCAGACATTGAAGGATGTCTTCAGAAGTAGTCTCACGTAGGTCTCATTTTACCCCACACTTGATTTTCCAGGATCCTTGAAGTAATTTATTTCTGCATCTTTCCTTTGCCCTAGGGTAGTTTCATAACAAAAAGCAAGGCTGCATCCAGGTCGACTGAAAAGCCTGAAGAGGCTTTTTTGGGCTTATCATCCAAAGTCAAATTTAAATAGATTTCCCTCAAGGCCCAGTCAGTGCTGACACCCTTGCACACTGCTGCTTTGGGATGATTTACTCTCTCAAGACAGTGACAAATGTACTACTTACTACAGGAAAAGGAAAAAACAAAGACACTGCTGAAGTGGAGGAGGGTCAAGAGCTCCAGCTGGTGCCGCTGACGGTTCAATTCCAGATGCAGTTGCTTCGGTGGCCCTTGGAAGCCAGCACCCAGAGCCAGGACGATGTAGCCACGGCAGTGGAGAACTCTCAGTGATGTGTCCATAGCAGAGGCGTGAGTGGAAATAAACCACACGGGAACGCTGCGTGGAGCCTGGTTTAGCTGAACCGCCAGAGCTGGGAGATGCCCCGGGGCTCCATGTGGTCTGTGGCTGGTGCTGGGCTTCTGCGGGAGCTGGAGCGGGCAGGGGGTGTTGGGTGGGTGTGCGGGGTGTAGGGTGGGTGTGCTGTGCCGGGGACACGCTGCCCCGGTGCCGCTGCCAGACCCCCCAATCCTCCTCCCGCGGGCGGGGCTCGGGAACTGCGGGGAGGGGCGGGGGCGGTGGCAGCGCCCGGTGAATCGCGGAGGGGACGGCAGTGCCCGGTGAATCGCGGAGGGGACGGCAGCGCCCGGAGGAGGCTCCTCCGCAGAGCAGGGCGGAGGTTTTACCTTGCGGGGTCACCGTGGAGTGGCGGCTCCAGCCCGGTCTGCGCGCCCCGGCGGGGCCGGGGGCTCTGGACCGTCCTCACCGGCAGCACCGGATCCTGGTGAGAACAGAGGGGGGGCACCGAGACACGTTCCCGTCCCAGGTCAGGTGGGAGGGAACGGCTCGTCTTCATCTGCCCACCCGGGGCCGGTCCAGCTCCGGATGCTGCCATGTATCCCAGGATTAAAAGCCTCGCGCTTTACACCTTCTCAATCATGCTGCTGGCCTGGGTGTTTTACATGAAGAAGGAGGCAAAGTTGGCAACATCAGCAGAGCAGAAAGTGGATGTGATGGATCACAGACTGCAGCCTTCGGTTCTGGACAGCACTGAGCACAGCAAGTGTTTGCCGAACTTGACCGTTGCCAATTCTTCTCTCGCCCTCCCGGAGCCTCACCGCGTCTTCTTAACCTACAAGCACTGCAGGAACTTCTCGGTCCTGCTGAGGCCTTCCAGGTGTAGCAAAGAGATGTTCCTCCTGCTGGCCATCAAGTCTTCACCCATCAATGTGGACAGGCGTGTGGCCATCAGGAACACGTGGGGGAAGGAGGTCTCCATCGGGGGCAGGCGCATCAGGCTGGTGTTCCTCCTAGGGCGCTCCGACGCCAAAATCCAGCTGCAGCCCCTGCACCAGCTGCTGGCTTATGAAAGCCAGGAGTTCGATGACATCTTGCAGTGGGATTTTGTTGACAACTTCTTCAACCTGACCCTCAAGGAGCTGCATTTCCTCCGCTGGTTCATGGAGGACTGCCTGCATGCCAGGTTTGTGCTGAAGGGTGACGATGATGTGTTTGTCAACACTTACAACATCGTTGAGTTCCTCCGGGAGCTGGACCCTGAACAGGATCTCTTTGTTGGGGATGTGATCGCCAACGCCCGGCCCATCAGGAACACCAAGATCAAATACTTTATTCCAGAGCCCATGTATGGAGCCGCCTTCTATCCTCTCTATGCAGGAGGAGGGGGATATGTGATGTCTAGAGAGACAGTGCGTCACCTCCAGAGCACCGCAGAGGACATGGAGCTCTTCCCCATAGATGATGTGTTTGTGGGAATGTGTCTGGCAAAGATGTCAGTGACCCCAAAGAACCATGCTGGCTTTAAGACTTTTGGCATCCAGAGACCTTTCAATCCTTTTGATCCCTGCTTGTACAAAGAGCTGATGGTTGTGCACAGACTGAACCCAACGGAGATGTGGATCATGTGGACGCTGGTGAAGGATGACAGCATTAGGTGTGCGGTGTCAGTGACGCACAGCTACAGCAGGGGCTGGAAAAGGAGTTACTGATTAGCCCAGTGGGATTGTGGCTGGTGACAGAGTACTTAAACTAAAAATCAGGTCGTGGTAGAAACATGTCTGTTACTAACAGACCGCACTGGAGCTGTCGTGGTTTGGTTTGCAGTGAGTCTTTCCCTGTCGGGGGTTACTTGAAGCAGTTGAATTGTCACAGGATGGGGGTGTGGCTGGTGGCTTCATGATGGTACAGGGGACTCGGCTCCTCCCAGCCAGACTGTGCTAGGGGAAGTCACAAGTGCCACCTGCCCTGGTGTCTGACTGCTGGCCAAAGTCAGTCTCATGTGGGGCAGCCAGCGATGACTAACGAGTTGCAGAGAATTTGAAATTATTTGAAGGCATGGCAGAAAGGCCAGTACGTCCTGCTGGGTCTGCAGGGCAGCAACCCCACAGCTCCTACCAAACAGCAGGAGAAAGGGAAGGAAAAGCTTCAAAAATATATGGCCTTAACACAGCAGTGACGATGATATGGGGGACTGGGCTCTGCTTCCAGCCCTTTGGCTTTTACAGAAACTCACAACAGGTTTACATGCACTGGAAACTTTAGCACAAACACTTTCTGTTCTGGTTTGAGAGGAGCTGTGTGTCTTGAGTAATCATGGTGGTAGGAAGAATGGCTGTAGCTTCCTGTGTTGTGTGGGAGGTGTTTGGTTCGTTGTTGTTGTTGTAATGTTGTGTATAAATAAAACGGTTTTGAAAAGTATTTACATGGGAATATTCTTAGGTCTCCTGAAAGCTAAGAGCCCTAAAAGCCAGGGAAGGCTGAGATCTGGTGCTGGGTATTTGCATTAAAGAGGATAATGTTATGTGGAAATAGATACTTGCCACTTCCTTTTCTGTGAGCTGTTCTCTGCCCTGTCCAGACAAGATGCATTGACATAAAAGTGGTTAATCTGAATGTGCTGGAGTTGCTAATTTGAGAAAGTATCAAATATAGATATTTGGTAAGTTTTGGTAGTATGTTTGTGAAGCTTATCAGTGTCTTGCTGCTAGAGCTGGAGCTGTGGATGAACAGGAAGCAGCCTGGAAGCCTTAGGGGAAAAAAAAAAATGAGTAAAAAAGGAAAATAGGAAGTGTGTGATTAGAGAAAGCAGATCCCTTTGTGTGGTCCTGTTGTAATTACTGTCTCTAGTGCCAGCTGCCCAGCATCCATCCCCCAGCAGAGGGGAGCTGGAGCTTTCACAAGTGCCCAGGAAGCACTGCCAGGAGGTTCTTGCATGTCCTATAGACGGGGACATGCTGAGAGCAGAGGTGTGGGAGCTCTCAGTGGGATGCTGAGGGGACTGCTGGTAAGGATGTGCTCTCTTAGCCCTCTGGAGCAGCTGGGGTAGCTCTGGCTGAGCCCCAGGGTTGACCCAGGCTCTTGGGGCAGAAGGTGCCACCTCACAGGAGTGTTTCTGTGCCAGGTGTGAGTAGGGGTTTGTCTCGAACAATTGGTGGGTGTCCATCCTCAGGGTGGTCTTGTGCAAACTGTTGCTGTTTTTCCTGGCTGCAGCTCCAACAGGGGTTCATGAACTGTAGCTGAGAAAGTGCCTGTGTGTAGTTTCAGGTGTGTTGGCTTAGTAAACAAGGCCAAGTGTCAGCAACAAACCCCAGGTTCTGGGCACAATTCTCTGGGCACTGCTGCTGGTCCTGGAGAGGAGACTGGACAGAGCGGGCACCGTGGTGCCCTGTGAGCTGCTGTGCCAGCACTTTTGTGATCCACTCGATGATTCCCAATGCAAACTCAGGAGCACAGAGCATGATGTCATGTCTGTTGTGGGCTTAGGTGTGTGGGCTAACCCTCAACTGGCAGCTCTCACTTCCTAACAAAGATGAGGGACTCCCTTCTGCCCTGTTTTGGGGGCGATGTGGAACCATTTGTGCTCCTCACCCTCACTTTGACTTGGCTGGACTGACTGGTTGGTTCCAGCCACATCAGGCTGGACGTGTGTGGGAACAGCTCTCGGGCAGGAAGCGCAGGACGTGCAGTGAAACCAGAAGTGGGGTCACAGCAGGGCTGGGAGCAGGCCCTGAAAGGGGAAGAGGGACTTTCCTGGCTTTGCAGGCTCCTGGCAGTGCCATGCAAGCATCTGAGTAGTTACTGTGGCATGCTGAAAGGTACACAACTTGTTTGCGCACTCGGGTCAGGGGCTTGGCAGATGTTCTTCAACTCCACAAGGTACCAAAGGAGAGCAGTTGTGGTTAGAGGTTGACATGAGGGTGCATTTGGCTCCTGAGGGCTTGGCTGTGCCGCCACTCAAGTAATCCTCTCATCACAGGGGTTTTTTTCCCTAATGCTGCAGCCCAGAGCTGTGTTTGGCACAGCAGACACTGGCAGCTCCCTGTGAACTGAATTCCAGACTATGCCATCCTCCTTGGATACAGCAGCACCCAGTGAGGAGCAAGGAAAGAAGGTTTGTTAATTTTCTTTTTACTACTTAATCTGTAAATGAACAGTGCTGTGCACCTGAGATTGCATTTGTTCCAAAGGCAGCCAAAATGAGACAGAGTTTATGCTGCAGGTAAAAAAATTCCTGGTCAGGCACAACTCAATTTAGTAACAGCAACCTTGACACAGATGCAGTACATCAGATGCTAATCTGTGGTGAAAAACTTTTGATTAATGCGTGTTTTCTTGGCACAACCTGGTAGATGGGGATTAACTGCTTCCAATTGTCAGCGATAAAGTTCTAGTGGATGCTGTTCTACAAAGCAAATTTCACACCAGCTGTCAGGTTAGGAAAGTTACACAGTGAGACACCTGTGGTTTTGAAACCTGCAGTGAAACATTAAGCTTGCAAAAGAAATAATTATTTCCTGAATAATTACTCCCTTGCACTGGGAAGCATTCAAATATGTAAAACCCTCTTTTGCTCAGTGCTTTGTGGAACAGTACACAGCAGCTGCCAGAACGATTTTGTTTATAACCACAGTATCTTGAAAATCAAATCTCCCTGCTTTGCTTCCCGGGGAACCTCCCCCAGACATGACTCTGGGTGAAATAAGTTGCTGTGCTGAACAAAACTGCACCAAGAGCCTGGGTGACTCCATGAGAAATTCTCAGCTCCAGAGCAAACACTGCAGCTCAGTGTTAATTTGGAGCAACTGCCAACTCAGAGCTTAGAAACTTTTAAATTCAAATAGAAAGCAGGACCTAATCTTTTCCCCAAATGGACACACCCACAATGAGCTGCTTTTGCACAGTTTAATAAAGGCATTGCCTCACAGACATCATTTACCTCAGAGGTTAAAAACAAGGATTTTTAAATACACTTCTCTGGCTGATCCCTAATGAGCTCCCACAAACACACCAAGGGAGCAGCAGGACCCTCCAAGCAGAGACACAATTACCATTGGGAATCATCGAGTAGATCACACCAGGCCACCCCTGGTAACAGTCTTCACATTTGCATAGATAAACATTTAAATAAATGAATCCAAAAGTATCACAAACAAGGTAAGTTACAAACAAAACTGAAGCCTTCCAAATACTTGATTTGTAAAGCATTCCTTTTTTGGAAAAAAAAAAAAAAGTAATCACAGCCTTATTTCAGCAGTTTTACACCATCCCACACTTAAGTGCTTGGGGACTGTTCAATTTGTGATTGACCCTGAGAGCTCAGTTCTATTCAGTCCTCCCGAAGGTAAGGGTCATCATCTGTATTTCCTGAAACACCCTGTGGCAATGAGGGGTCCTCTCCTCGGGCTTTTAGGAGCTCCTCTGTCTGAGCTTCAGCTAATTTGGTCTCTGCTTTCTGGGACAGCAGCCGCACCTCCTGCACCTGGGACTGCAGCAGCTGGATGTGGCTGCGGGCTGTCACCGAGGCCTGGTCTGCACCTGGAGGGAAGGATTGACACACTGGGTTAGAGGAGCACTGGGCAAACCTTCAGCTAAAGAAATGCATGGGATCATCATCTGCTTTGCTGTGTTGTGCTGGCTGTTTGGCTGCATAATGCTCAATGCATTTACTGTTCATTTACATCTGCTTTGAGAAGTCACAGCTCACTTGAATTCTCCCTTCCCAGTGGGATTCAGCTGGAGGTGGATAGGAGTGATCACCTTGTGCCAGTGGGTTTGACAGCTAAGTCCAGCCCACTCCTTCTGTGCCAGAACTTTTCAGTCCTTGTCCCATCCTGGCACCTACAGCAGCAGGAATATCTGTGGCACTGCTGAATTCCCATCATTCTCCTCCCATACTCCCACAGATTCCTGGGTCTTTTCCAGGCACTTACAGAATTAGGGTGTCTCTGTACATTCACTGCTTTCCCTCCCTTCTCCACTACAGTAACTTTGCCCATTTACCACAAACTAGTGGATAACTCAGTCTCAGAGCTCTCAAATCTCTCCAGGGAGAAAAAACAAAAATTAGTATCTTTTCCTTTTTTAATATAACTAAACCCAGCTGGAAAGCCCTACTGGACTCACAAGCAGCCTTGGTTCTGTGGCTCCCAGGACCACGTTTGAGCTTTGCATTTAAAAATAACTGAACTCTTCCCTCAAACATTTTTGGACATGGTTGGTTTTGACCTAAACCACGCATGAAGTTTCCAGGCCTAGTTCTAAGAAAGCACCTACAGCCTCACAGCCAAAACCAGAATGGACGTGCTCAGCACCTCTAAAAACCAGGCACCAGCTGTCACTTGTGATGTTAACTGAATGTACATTGTGTGTCTGAGCTGTGTTCAGAGAGGGAAAAGGGCAGAGGCTGCTTGTGCGCACCTGACTGATACGCGGCCTCTGCCGCCATCTCCGACAGCCGCAGCGCTGTCATCCAGCTGGATTCCAGCCTGAGGTATTCCTGCTGCTTGGTGGTCATCTAGGAGCAGGAGAAAGAATCAAACAAGGTGTAACAGACCTGAGAGCCCTCCTGAGCTGTGGAGAGCAGTGAGAGCAGGGCTGGAGAGGCAGATGGTGAGGGAGGGAGGTTTGCTTACATCCACTCTGGCTCCTATGACCACCTGCCAGACTGCATCCACTTCTTCCGAATTCACTTTCCCAAGGAGATTGGAGTATTGCTTGTAGAGAGACACCAGGGTATAAACTGCCTGTGAAGGAATCATTTTGCACAGTTACCATGATTCCTGCACAGCTCTGGTGTTGTCTCAGTGTTGCCTGGTGTTAATTAGCAAAATTACTCTTGATGTACTGACAGGGATGTAAACTGGAATGCAAATACTTTACTCAAATTGGCACTTTATTTACAAAATTAAACTGTGTATTGTTGTTTCAGGTTTAAGTATGGCTCATGCCATTCTTCTGACGGAACTCAGTTCATGG